TACTAAATTACAGCCCCCCCGCTATCCTAAATCCCAGCACCCCCTCTATACTAGGTCCCAGTACCCCACTCTATACTAGGTCCCCTCTATATTAAATCCCAGCACCCCCCTCTATATTAAATTCCAGCACCCCCTCTACTAAACCCCAGCCCTTGTTTAAAAAATACAAAAAACAATATTAGCCAACAAGCAGACTCCACTCACATTGCTGCTGCCAATATGCGACTCCGGAGTCCAGCCTCTGGTATACCCCCATTGGCGCCGTCCACATCCTGTGCCAAACAGATCCTCCCCAACTCATTGAAAACCTGTGAAGGTGGAACACGTTAACGTCACGTCAGAATGTAACATGGCGTTGCGTGCCTCTATGCTCCTCCAGGTCCTCCACTGTCCAACCGCGGCCATCACAACACTGACCAACACACACACTCTGACAGACACACACACTCTTTGACAAACACACACACTGACAGACAGACACATACACTGACAGACACACACATATATTTACACATTCTTGCACACACTCACATCACTTTATTTATTGCTCCCTATCTTTGGGAGCTAGTGTGGGGATCTTCCTGCTCCCTCTCGCGCTCAGTTTAGTTATGCCGGGCAGGAATGACATATTCTGGCACCCGACATCACTACACGCGACACGCGCGCGGGAGCTGTGAGGAGCAGGAAGACTAAAGCTCCCTCGCTGACACCATGGACCTCTCTTCCCCGGACGGGTAATTTTGGCAAAGTAGGCACCTGCAATGTGGGCGAGCAGGTGCCTACTCTGCTCTAGTAAGCATGGCAAACTCGCTGCTCGCTGGGCCGCAAAAATATTCATTGTGGGCCGAGAGTATAACATGCTTGCCCTAGCTCTTCCAGCCGACCAGGCTACATCTCTCTTCTTCCAGGAAGGTATCGTCCCCACTGTTGCTCTCCTTCCAGGGAGGTATCCATACCTTTGCCTGTACTGTGACTAGCACCTGCATTTATAAAGGCACTTGTGGCTCTCAGGTCCATCTGTTTTTGAATTGCCCCAGGCTAAAGGAATCAAGCAGCAAGCTAACAGGTTCAAAGACACTGTTGCTGGGATCCTTGAACAAATCCACACAGTTCCAAAAGGAAATAAAGATACTGCTTTCATGTTTATTTTTAACTCAGGACTAGTCCATATGCACATGACATTAAACTTATAGTGATAACATAATAAAATACAAATAATCAAGTCATATTGGGAAGCACACAGAACATGCCAGTAACACCATAAAACATTTACAAAGGCTGTGGAAAACATTAGTTAACACAAAATATATCTCCTGCCTGCAGAATTCATATTACTAAAATCCACCTGAATATGCAAATTAACAAGCCTTGCTATTCAGATAGTGCATACAGCTTTTGCTACCAACAGAGGGGACTGTACATAACTGTTGCATCCAACAGGTGGAACTGCATACAGCTGTTGCAATATATTTGCAACCAACAGATGGCACTGTATAGGTTACACAGCCAAATCCAGCTAATTAGAAAGCATCAGGAGGACAGGAGACAAACACATTTAACAAGAACCAATACATTGTACATACACTGCATCTATAATTGGCACAAGGTGACTAAGACATATGAATAACCTGGGGACCTACATAAAGTGTTCATCTTCAACCCCCAGTGATGGTGACTACCTTCACAGTTTTACATATCAGAACATAAGAATCTGTTCTTTAGCTGGTCTTAAAGAAAGGTAAATGAAAGCTGAGATGAACAACAACACATGACATATTACACTGTGTCATGATTTATTTAACAAAAATAAAGTACACCCTTATTGCTTCCATGGGACTAAAGAGACTTAGTAGCAGACAGGTGCCCTTCATTAATTGATGAGCAAGTGTGACCACCTTTATAAAAGCCAATGTTTTAGTTGTTTGCTGGTCTAGAGTATTCAGATGTATAATAATATGATGCCAAGGAGGAAAACTGAGAAGGGTTATACTGCCATTCCAAACAATTTAAAGGCCATCATTCTACCATTAGAAACATTTTTCAAAAGTGGAAAAAAATATCAAAATTCAAGTTGCCAATCTTCCCTAGAGATGACTTCCCAGCAAATTCGCCCCAAGATCAGACCGTGCAATGCTCAGAGAAATTGCAAAAAACAAAACAAAACAAAAAGAGTTACATCTCAGATCCTACATGCCTACGTTAGCATGTCAAATGTTAAAGTTCATGACAAAATAATTATAAAAAGACTGAATAAGTATGATTTGTTTGAAAGGGTTGCCAAGAGTGTCTTCTCTCTAAAAACAACAGCAACAACATGCCAGCACAGCTTAGGTTTGCAAAGTTGCATCTGAACTAACTTCTAGAACACTGTTCTTTGGACTGATGAGACCGAAGTGTAGATGTTTGGTCATAATTTACAGCGCTACATTTGGTGGAAACCAAACACAGCATTTCAGCATGAACACCTCATACCAGCCAGAGCTGTAAACTACTAAAGCAAGTTAACATCTGATTGAAAATTAAACCCTTATTCCATGCAGGCTGTGAGAGTAATAGCCAGCAGAGATGTGACTAGGGCTGCATAAACAGAAACAAAGGTTATTTACATCATTTTTATGTACTTATTTACTAATTGTAAACCTTTATAACTTTCTTTTTTAAATTCTGTAAATCCAGTATGAGATCCAGTATGAGGTCTTTACAGATCCTATGGGATATCCCAGCAGCCTGCAGTATGCACGGCAGGAACAGTGATGTACACTGTCATATTTAAGCATTACAGTGAGAAACACTGAGCTGTGATACACAGTGGTCAGACAGAGTCCCCTTAGGCCATATGGGTCTCCTCATGGCACCTGGAGCTGTCAAAAATCATCATCTTTTAAAGTGTAGGGTGCCATGAGAGGATCCATAGAGTCTAAAGAAACTCTTTCTGGTCACTGTGTGTCACCGCTCAACTAAACAGAGGCCTGGCTGAACTCAGACGTTAAGGCACACTGTTTAAAGTGATGTGACTGCTCCTTGAATTTGAGAAGTTTATATATATACACACACACATACATTTTTATATATATATATATATACACATATATATGTGTGTTAAATGCACCACCCTAATGATAAAGCAATAGGCAGGAATACACACACAAAAATAGAGAAAAATGCAAATATTTTTTATCAGAATCGTTTCAGGGTTTTTTTATACATGCAATGAACCATTTAAAAAAACAAAAAAAAAACAAACAAACAGATTTTCAAATAAATTTATCCAGTGGGGAATTCCAACTGGTGAAGCAAACATGCAGCACTATAGATTATACCATCAGCAGCATAGGGTATATTCAGGGAGTCATTATAGCACATATGTTTTTTAGAATGGAAACAATGAACAAATATTGTTGATGAATGCTGTTTAGCAGGTAGCCTCAACAACTGCATAAGACCTCAAGAAATCAACATAAATTAAAGAAAAATTGTAAATACTTGAAAAACTACATCAAAAGAAATTTTTCTCAAGAAAGTCTTGAGAGAACACAAACGTCCATCAATCAGCACATATGTAGGATGGCAGCCTCCTTGTAACGTGTAAAAAGAAAAGATGAAAAAAGTGTGAAAAAAAAAGGGTAGTTTGAAAAAACAAAACAAAAAGGGAGGGTATTACTATACCAATAGACAGTCCAGTATTGTCAAGGTATAACTCCCCCAACACGCTAACTATAGGACTAAAAGACAACTTAGCTAGACGTATTACCGGTCCTTAAAGTGGCCGGACTTAACGTGAAGAGAAAATAGGAAAAAAACAGAATGGTCAGACGAGCCAAGGTCAGGGTAGGAGAAGTTCGGATAAACGATAATCAAAGCCAAAGGTCAGGGAAGCCAGAAATACGGAAAATCAGAGACAAGCCGAAGTCAGATACCCGGAAAAGACAAGTTAACAGAAGGCACTCTCGGGCTACGATAAACCACGACAGGGCAAGGAAGTGATGTAAGAGGGAGGTATAAATAGGGCTAGGAGAGAGCTGATAGGCTCTGGAACAAAATAGGGCAGTATATAAATAGAGCACCAGTTCACAGGTAAAACATGGTACTATCACTTTAAGGCGCTGGAGACAAGCAAATAGGGTATTTATCTACTAATCAGTTCAAAGATCAAAATTAGGGTTGTCATTAACTAGCCCAGAACAATAATTCCGAGTGGCTAATTTGAATTCGATGCAAATTTGGTATCGGACACCAATCCACCATGCTGGCGTAAGACAGCCAGTAGCGGCCAGTTTACCCCCCACCCCAGTGGAAATTGGTATCTAATATGCTGGCTATATATTGTTCTTAGATTCCCCAGTGGCTTCAGGTAGTGATTAATACTTAAATCTCCCCCGTGCAAGCAGGGATTTAGCCAAGCTTGCATCTATCAACTGAAGGATAATGCTAATTTATTTTAATTTTGTCACGGGGCTCTGTTGTTACTTAGGAGTCCTACAGATTGCTGACAATGTATAAATTTGACAAATATGGGAATTAAACTCTAAATTGTAGCAAACTGAAAATTGAACTCCAAATTGTAGCAAACTGAAAATTCACTAAACTCTGAATAGGAAGATTTATACAAAAATTACTGGTATGGAAAAAATAATGCTATGGAAACTAGGAGTACACTCATCGCTATGCTATTGTTGAAATCCTGATTTACTATTGTTTTAGCCAGAAGTAATGCGGCTGTAAATGGACACGGAAGCAGCTCTGGGTCTTAGTCATACATTCATTCATTGGATAGACCACAACTGTCGGTTAAAAGTGGCCTCATGACGTTCAAACATGATTAGGACTGGTTTTAGAAATTTCAGAGTATTCATAAGTTATGTTTTCCTTGTAGTACCCAGTGTGTGAACATACACAGCAACTGGTACTGCTGATAAGTTATCATTTCTTGTAATTATTCTGTGGGTGTGACAGACATCAGAAGTGAAAGTCTGACATCTGAGACTGAATGTCTTGATAAACAGAAAATACTGCTCAGAAATACCACTAACTTGGGAGGGGAATGGCGCAATGAAAGCTTATCCCTTTCACTTTCCTTCTTTAAGAAAAGCCACAAGACCACTTAATTTATAACCTTTCCGCCGTTGCTCTGGTTCTTGTGGGTATGTATCCTCTTAAAATATTGTATGTTGATGTTATTTAGATTGGAGAAACAAACACGATGTTATAAAATAACTACAAACTATCTGGGGATTTATTCATTAATAAAATAACTGAATTTAAAAAAAAATCCTTCTTGCCTATTTTACCACTGTCCAAATAAAAATCACTGTTTAGTAGAAAAACATTTATGCATTTAATTATGCAGTTATGCATTTTTCATCATTTTATTTATCTACAAATAGCTTTCAAAAGTAGCAAATCTCTTGCCGGAAACCTTTGCAATACCTCTTCTAATCCAACCCAGACTTTGACTTCCCAATGCATCTCAATTAGAAGTCTTTGCAAGGCAGGTGCTCTGAGCAATTGCTGCCAATTAAGTTTAGCTCCACTGAGTTTCACAACCAGGAAGTAGCAGGGCAGGTTTTCTGATTGACAGCCAGGTGGTGTAACAGGATTAATTTATAAAATTGTCAATTTTCTTTGAAATCTGCACTTTTTGTAAAATGGGAAAAAGAGGGCACACTTTTTACACATAAAACACATCAGCAAATTAAAGTTCTTTAACCCCTTAAGGTCACATGACGTGTGATATGTCATGATTCCCTTTTATTCCAGAAGTTTGGTCCTTAAGGGGTTAAGGGTCTGGAATATCTCTTTAAAATGCCCTTGTCAATTCTCAACAGTTCCCAATTTTGTTAAAAAAAAAATGCATGTTAAATAAATCCCATTTCCATTGATATTGATACTAATTTTCAAGTCCAATTATGTTTTATTATATAGAACCTTCAAAAACATCTATGGACACAGCCAATGTTATTTGTTTATGCATGGGCAATAATTGTACTTATAGACTTGTGAAATTAAACCAATTATTTATTTTAGATTTAGAAATATGTTTAAAAATAAAATCAGAAAACCAGAAATACACTGGTGTGGTAGTAGCAATATTTGTTTTTTCAAGTACAATATATAACATGAAAAGCATGAAAAAACAAATATTGCTACTACCACACCAGTGTAAGAACCAATCAATCAATCTCTGAGGGACACTGTAGGCACTATAATCATTTTATCTCATTGAATTAATTTACAATGGCTGGTATCCCCTGGCATGGTCCCTGTATTCAGTACTAATACCATTTTTGAGTGGGGTTACTAAACATGGCTCCCTTGCAACCAACAGTCCGGTCCCTACTCAAGGAATAGCTATGGCAGAGATTACACTGTTTCATATCTTTTTACTTCACAAATTATAAACATAACACAACAATAAGTGTAAATATTGTATTATTAAAGGGACTTTATAGTCACCAGAACAACTACAGCTTAATGAAAGAGAAAAGGCAGTGTTTACATTGCCCCTAGGACACCTCCAAGTGGTCACTCCTTAGATGGCCACTGGAGGGGCTTCCTGGCTCAGTGCTGCACAGTAGGCAGCCCTACCATTCAGCGTCTCCACGCTCTGCATGGAGATGCTGATTTTTCCTCATAGAGGTACAGGGGTTAAAAAAAAATCAAATGACAGTAAAATGTAATCCCTGCCAATTGATCACTGTAGTCAGTGATCAATTGGCAGAGAAGGGGTTACTTTTTAATTAAAATGAGTAAAGGGGGGTGGGATTTTAAATAAACTTTATTTTATTTTTAACAGGGGGCAGGATCAGCAGTGTTCCGGCTCCCTGCACTTCACACAGAACCAGGAAGTGCAGGGAGGCGGAAGGTAAGTATACTAAGCATATGTGCTCGCTCTGACATACTGTCAGAGCGAGCACATGTGCTGGGGCAGCACTATCGGGTGCTTCCGGTCTGCCTCTAGTACAGAGGCAGACCGGAGCACCATTAATCCCGCGATCGCCACAATAGCGGCGATCCGGGGTTCATTTTAACGGGTGACGGACGAGGTCCGTCACTCGTCGTTATAGCAATCCCCTGAGTGACGGACCTTGTCCCACACCGGTGATCGCGATAGGGGGGACTTACCTGGCATCCCAGTGAGCCCCCTGCTGCTGATCCGGCCCTCCTGGGCCATGTGATCGCGCGGTCTTTGCGGGGACCTCATGATCACATGGATGGAATAGCCGTCCATAGCAGTGCCAGCAGGGGGAGCGGCTGGAATGACAGGTAGTCCCCCTGCTGCATGAAATAAAGTAAAATAAAGTTTAAAATTAAATAATATATAATTAGATCATATATATGTTATCTATATATATATATATATATATATATATATATATATATATACACACACACACTTACACATACACTGTCTAAATGTATTTTAATATATATTGGTAATATATATTAATATCAAAATATACGTAGAACGATATTAATTATCACTGTGAGTGCAGCTTATACATACTTTGATATTCATATTGGACGCCGAGGTCTGCACCCAGGCAAGAACAACGTATTGGTCATTTCAGGGTGAGTGCCAAGTTCACTTTCTTTTATATTTATAATTATATATAACAACAAAAAAAATAGTCTTGCACTCCACTTACTGGTGTCTCTGCCCGGTGCTTATCGGCATAGGTGCTTATCGGCAAATTTAAAAGATCAACGTTTTAGTTTGTCAGCCAAACTTTCATCAGTTTGGGTGACAAACTGAAACGTTGATCTTTTAAATTTGGAAAATAAAAGTAAAATTTTATTTTTACACCTTTGGAGTCCTGGGAGTGCTCTCTCTATGTAAATTGGTTATTATATATAAAATAAAAAAATAATACAAAATAAATAATTAAAAAATATATGTGTAATTTTGTTCTAACTGAATCTTGATATTAATATATATATATTGATATCAAAATACACTTAGAACAAAATAATATATCTACATACATAAACATATGTATATATCACTATATATATATACCTATATATAAATAAAAATACTTTTTTTTAAATTACATATATATATATATATACATACATATATATATATATATATATATATACACACACACACACACACACACACACACACACACACACATATATATAATATATATATATATATATATATATATATATATATTGTTTTGTTTTTCATTCCAAGTATATATTTATGTAATATTTTTACATAATTAAGTCATTTTATTAATTAAAATTTGCGGGACCTGCCTGATAACCCAGGCAGAAAGTACAGAGAATTTAATTTGCTAGCACTATATTTAACCCTGTAACTTTCTAAGACACTATAAAACCTGTACATGGGTGGTACTGTTTGATTTGTGAGACGTCGCTAAATACAAATATGTGTATTTCATTGCAGTAAAAGCAAACAGTATTATGACATTCATAGTTAAAATGTCATGCAGAACTAAAAAAATAAAATTTCTTAATTTCTCACATTTTTTTACATTTTATTCATATTAAATTATGTTTCATAGCTAAATATCTGATGTTAAATGAAAGCCCTATTTCTCCTGAATAAAATGATGTAATACGTGTGGGTGCACTTAATACGAAACATGGGAATTACGGTTGAACAGACATATAGTCAAATTCCAAGTTTTGGTTACGTTTTATTTTGATCAAAACATGTACATTTGGCTCAGTCCTTAAGGGGTTAAGAAAGCTGATCAACCAGCCAATTAAGACATTGTTTTATTTTCCTGAGCTATGACAAAATCTCTCCCTTTGATATAATTTGGTTTATTTGCTTAATAAAACACTTCTAATATTATGCATTCTCCATACAGGCATCTATAATACAATATAGGTACAGGATGAATTGGTATTAATTAAAAGCTTGATTGTACATTATTATTACCTTCACAGCCAGGAACGAGATCGGCACATTATAATTACAATGTATTCTGAATACAATGGATGCATTGCACGCTTCTTAGATATGTTGTCATACTGGAGATTCTTGAAATATAATCCTGTGGGCTTTATTCACTAAACTTTAGTAAACTGAAAATCAAATTAGAAAATGGAGGCGACAATAGCATAACTAAAAATAAAAACTTTTCGACTTTTCCTCGTTTGATTTGGTCTAAATGTTTCAGATTAGTTTTCAGTTCATCACAGTTCACTTGAAAGGTATTAGATATTTGTCTTATTTTTTTTTTTTTTTTGCATGTAAGGACGTATTTTTTTTTTTTTGTAAATATGTTTTTATTTCAGTTTATATTGTCAAGAATAAGTCACATTGAGACTCGCAGGTCTCCGTAAGCCTTTAGGGCACAGTAACCAAGGTACAACATGTGCATAACTTTTTTACTTCGGGCAACCGGGCGCGCAGGCCCACAATTTCGCTGGACTCGCAGGTCCCTTTCAGCATGCAGTTCTTGTCCCTAAACTAATGTGACGTTTGCATTCGGTCGCTTCGTTTGTTAGGTAACATTAGGTAAACTTCAGTTTGGACTCGCAGGTCCACTTAGGGTGGAACAGAAGCAGCCTATGAAAAGGAAAGACGGTCTGCGGAACCAGCATTGGTGTCGTGTTGGTCACTATGTAGCGGGTATTATAGTCGGGTGTCGGGCCCGTGTGTCTCGTTGCAGTAAGGCGGTCAGGTATTACCTCCAGTAAACTCCAAGTGTCAGGGTGGGTCCGCTGGCCCCTTTGAGTCTCACGTTAAGTCCCGCGGCCTGATCTGTAGTGCGTGCATGTGGGTGTCTTCTGTTCTATTGTCCCCTCGTGGAGGGGTGAGTGTCTTCCCGAAGGCCTTATAAGTCTTCTCTTATGTTGTCCTTGGCGTGTGCCAAGTACTTGTCTGTTCGCATGCAGTATTTGGGGTTGGGGGATGTCCGGGTAGTGGCGTCTAGGGAGGTAGGGGGGTCGGGGTGCGTCCGCGTCTGGGTCGCGTCTGTCTAAGTCGTCTCTGTATTTGTCGGTCTATGCGGCTTCGTCACTTTGTCCTTATGTGTCATATTGGAGCCTGTTTGTGAATTCTGCCTTGGTGGTAGTCAGTATCCAGTGGGTCCATATGTCCGTGTACCTATTCGAGGAGTTGGATGCGGTCATAATGAGTTCCTCTATGGCTCTGAGTTCCTCCATTTGGGAGAACCAGGATGTCAACGGGGGTGTCGTTTGTTGCTTCCAGAATTGAGGGATCAATTGTTTGGCAACGTTTAGTATTCTAATGGTTAGTGAGTGCTTGTATCTCGTTCTAGGTGACCTTGTATGGTGAAGGAGCATATGTTCTGGGAGGAAGGGGGGTGGCGTGTCTGAGAAGGTTTTGAGGAAGCCGTGTATACCCCGCCAGAAGGGCTTTATGGCTTCGCAGGCCCACCACAGGTGGAGTACTGTGCCGGCCTCTCTATTACACCGCCAGCAGAGATCCGTGTGTTCCGGGTCCATGGCATGGAGTGCGATCGGGGTGCAGTACCAGTTCGTTAACAGTTTAAACGCCGTTTCTTGTGTTTTGCTGAAGACTGAGCAGTGATGCGTTAGATAGCATATCTTTTCCCAGTCCCCGTCTGTGAAGGTTTTCCCCAATGTTTGTTCCCATCTCCCCATGAATTTGGGTTTCTCCGTTGGTGTTTCCCTCTGTAGCATGGAGTAAATGAGTGAGATCCCGTGTGGTTGCGGGTCTGGGTCCATACACATTCTTTCAAATGTGGTAGGATCACGTTTCCGTGCCGTGCCCCCCGGGAGGGTGTGTACATAGCTCTGTAGTTGTCTGTGTTTTAGGTGGTGTAGGAGGGTGGGGGTTGCTCCCTCTAATAGGGTCGGAAGTGTTTTGCATTCCGTGCCTGCCAGCAGGTGGTGTAGTCTAGGTGGTTTATGTCGGATTAAGTCCCTGAATGCGTTGGGGTCTAGCCCCGGTGGGAAGCTGTCGTTATGCGTGAGAGGGAGAAGGGGGGATGGGAATGGTGCTAGTCTGCATCTGTAAGGACGTATTTTTAATGAGAACAGACAAAAATTAAACCCTTTGCTCAAACTCTAATTACATTTGGGCGGCAGCAATGGCTACAATATTGATCAACCAAAAATAGCAAAAGAAAAATTTTTTTACTAGCACACTATGCACATAAAAACAACAGAAGGTTTTTAGTTCCATTCCAATGGCAATAAAAAAGTATAAGCTCACCTGCTCCGTCAAGGCACTTTAATGCCTTTCAGAAGAAAAAAAAGCCCATTTATATCCAATTCAATGTTGTTTTATGTTGTTTTTAATTCTGATTTTGTTTTATAGTCTGATTATCATCTTCCTACTGAAGACATTCTTTATTATCAAAGGGTAGTGTCGCCCTAAGAGAGACACCTGCTTAAACCTTAGCGCCTATAGAAAAGGGCTCTGACACATGTGAGTATGATAGTACTGTTATCTTTTAACATCTTTCATTTGAACATATTACTACACCATATGTGCATTTCCATTTTTATTCTATATTGCTACTACCCCTATATAACGGAATGAGTATTGCACTTAGATTAAAAATAAAAGTTTACGGATCACAGGACAACACACCACGCAGACCAGGAGACCACGGCACACACACCTGGAGACAGGGCACCTGAGGACCAAGGCAACGACACCCGAAGACCGCAATGGTAACACATGCAACAGATTGTGCTGACAGGGGGCCCGGGTGCCGGAGGGGCGCGGGGGCTCCGGTCCTGCGGGGTGACCCCACCTCAAACCTCCCCCCCCAGGAACATGACATACTCCCCCCACAAAACACTAAGACAGAACGAACTCAGACATACCACCATAGGGCCATGCTATACCACACAGAACACCCGTCCCATCCCCACGGTCCTAACCTTCACAAGGCACAAGAGACACCATCACGCCCAAGCGGAGAGGAGGAGGGAGGACACCCAAGATCTCCCCCCCTACACAACCACACGCCACCTCCGCACCCCCGATGCGCACATTGTCCCATGGGTCGAGACATGAACCTGCCCTGAACCAACACTGAACCCCGATCGTGGACATGGAAGGATGAGACCGGGATCCGCTGTGACTGAGACTGGACTCTAGGACCAGGGCACCACGCTAGATAAGGGGAAGCTGACACTACCTATAGAAGCCCGCCAAACGAGTCCCCCACCCATCAGGACCATAAACCATCGCCCCCAAACTACTAAACCAACACCACCAGCGACACACACACACAAGAACACATCCCCCACACTCACAACCACACGAAGACATACAGATAGCCCGACTGACCCCAACCCGGAGACAGCCTCAAACTGAGAGAAATAACACAAGGGCGCCACAGCACGGGTTCTGAACACAGACGCTCATACAAGGCAACCAATGGGGACGGACCGCCTTATCCCGCAACAAAATCTGACCTAGATACATTATATAGCACCGTAACATCGGCTAACCAATTCCTTACGGAAGACACGCAATGGCACCCACTGTGCAATATATCGTAAAACAATATCACCATAGTCGCTACGCCCTATGAGACCACATACCCAATCTGCTTAAGAAAGGCACAATACAAAACAAGATGCCGGCCTCAAAAAAAAAAAACACAGGGACCATATGTTATAAGCCTCTGCGTAGGCTACTGCTGTAAAACTACTGATGACACAACCCCACATCCCAAACCATTTACTAAGTATACAACACTACCCCTGGCGTGGGTAAACTGCTCGCAATCAGAGGTTACGAAATGCCCATCATTACCCCGGTCGGAATGATTACGAAATATGTAATTAGCCTTACTCTTGTCTGTTTGACGTCATCTGCCTCTGTGTAGGCAACAATGCACCCTCTTTTCAAATCTGTTGTATATCTGCTAACATGTTGCATACGAAATAAAAAAATAAAAATAAAAGTTTGTTCTTAATTGCAAACAGTTTTTTGTACCTTACCTGTGAATTTGCACACATTGCATATATTTTAGGTAAAAAGCACATTGTGAAATTGCACATATATTTCACAAAAAAAGCACTTTTTAAATTCACTTTGGAAAACTACATATGTTTTTAGATAGCTAAATTAAGAGCTCAACCATTATAACATATATTGCGCAATTTAGGTGTTTCAGCAGCTAATGGATTAAGATACATTTTTCTTAGAAGCGCCCTTTACACGTATAACTACTACCTATTATACTTTATAAGACATGGGGTCAGGCAGAGTAAACCAGGGATAGGGAACAGAGGATTCGGGGAACCAAGTAAAGAAGGCTTATGGGATACAGTGATAAAGGACGAGAGGCACAGGGGGCTGAAGAACAAAAGGTTAGGGGGATAGAGTGACATGAGATTAGGCAAACAGTCAACTAGGGCTAGGGGAACAGGGGATTAGGGTGACCAAGTGAAATAGGACTTCTGTGACATAGTGACAAATGACAAGAGTGACGGGGACAAAGGGACAAAAGGTTAGGGGGACAGGGAGTAAGGCAGATTGAGTGACATGTGATTAGGAGGAAAGAGTGATCCAGGGCTAGAGGAACAAGGGACTATGAATCCAAGTGTAACATGGCTTGTGGGGAAAAGGGCAAAAGGAACAGTGGGCAAGGGGACAAATGGCCAGGGGGACTGGGAATTAGGGGGATACAGGCCAGGGCACACCTGACAGTGTAACTGCTACAGTGAGCTGTAGTGGTTATGGTGCTTGGACAGTTAATTTATCCTGCATAGCATAAATATGAGGTGAGAGGAGAATGAATACCAGTTGCTGAGATCTTGGCTAGTAGCATTCTTGTTTAATTTTTTTTTTTTTGTGTGTGTGTGATTCTTACCCAGGCCCGGACTGGCCATCGGGCACACTGGGCAAATGCTGGTGGGCCGCAATAGCCATGGGCCGAGGCCGACAAGGGAGATCAAGAGATCTTCCCTGCCGGCCCATACAGAGTCAGCACTATCGGAGCGCTGGCCCAAAGATCTCCCTCACCAGCCCATAGGCACTTTACAGGACATCCGGCTGGAGGAATGGAGATGCAGATGACCTGGGAGCTATTAGCTCACAGCTTCGTCGGGTTTCTCTCGCAAGGTCGTTGCATTGCCATGGCAACTCTCCAATCTCGCTAGAGTGAACTCCAGGAGCTGTGAGCTGACTCACCACTGTGGCCACCATGGATTTCCCACCAGACCACCAGAGCTGGCAGAAAAGTCCCCCCTCCCAGGCAAAGGTAAGAAGGAAGGGGAGATATAAGCTATATATTTATAAAAAAAATAAAAAAATAATAATACATATTGTGACGGAACGCAGGCACTCCAACCGAGTACCTCCGCCAAGCGATGCTCCTAGTGCTTGCCGAGGACTCCAAGCTCTCCAACCGACACCATCAGCACTGCAGACCCCACTTCCAGCGATGCAGCTGCGCTGGGGTCTCGCCGTCCTTCACCCACCCTGGACCCAAGGTCAGGATCCAGCTTCCAGTGGGCTTCCTCCAGAGAGCGTAGCAGGAACAAGAACAGCTCTTACAAGAGCTTACCCTGGGGAGTATAGTGTGATTATAGCAATCCCCAGAGTGTAGTTATCCCATCCCCCAAGCATGAGCCAAGGCTTCAAGAAAGGGTCAAGCAGGTCTGTTTAATGAGCACCAAAGGACTTTCTTTTATACAAAATTTTCCACAAGGTTACCACCCATGTGGTCTTGTGAAACAGCCAATCAAACACATTACAATACAGTCACACACTCCCAGCCAAGGCACACAAACCCTCCCCTCTTCCTGTGATATAATTACTAAACACAATGGGCTAACTTAATTATCACAGGCAGAGCAATATACAGTTTTACACAATATTTGTAACTTCCAAACCATACATGCAATTCACATAAAAGTCACATATTCTGAACCAGCATAAGCAGTATACAAACATATGTCAAAATCATACCATTTGGTTCAGTGGTTCAAAAGTTAGGTGGAAGTCCTATTTGACCAACTGCAAGCATGGCTTTCCTGCCCAAAACAGTTCCACAGATTTAGGCTGTGCACCTGGTCTATCTTCTCCTCTGTCCTGGAGATAATTGGCTTAACCCCTTAAGGACACATGATGGAAATATTCCATCATGATTCCCTTTTATTCCAGAAGTTGTGTCATTAATGGGTTAAGTGGGTGTCGTAACTTAATTATCTGCAGGTACAGGGAATATCTCCATTTACAACAACAGTAAAAATACATAAAAATACATAATTCCTATTATACTGAACAGAACCCCCACATTCAACCCATCCCCAGATAGCTTGGGTTTGAACGCTCAATATATCCGAAAAGCGCTCAGATCCCACGAACAGAATAAAATCGCCATGGGGTTAAAGTTTTAGCAAGGGCCGATGAGAGATTGAGGAGGGACAAAGCAGCCAGTTCCATTTAAAGGGCCAGAACAGTCTTTTAAACACTAATAAGTCCAAATAGTGTTTTTAACTGGCAAGGTCTCCCAGGGACCGTAGTCACATGGAAGGAGGCTGCCAATTAGTCCTCTCCATGCACAAGTGCGAAGGGCACTTCATCACACATCTTCCCTTTTGAGGGGAGACTAACCAGGTACCTGACCTTCTGTCGGTCAGTGCCTGAGTTAGTCGAGCAGCCCACCCACAAAGAAAAATTAGCAGAGCAGCTCCCCCACAATAAACGGTACTGGCCTGTAGGTCCCAGGTTGTAGCGTGACAGTCCAGCACCCTCGTTCTCCCTGGTGCAGCTAGACAAATAGCTGGAGGTACTTGGGGGGCAGAGGCCAGCGGTGCTCTGCCCTGATGCCAGCTCTTCCGCTGGGGTACCCGGCAGGAAGTCAGGTTCTGGACAAGGGGAAAAGGAAGGGCAGAGGCTAACAGCGCTCTGCCCGGATGCCAGCTCTTCTGCTGGAAGGAAGTCAGTGAGTATCGCAGACTCATCCACTGCCCCCAGGACTCGGGTGAGAATTAGTTGGGGAGAGGAGGGCTCGCTTACCTCCTCCCAGTATCCCTGCGGGGATGTTTGGGAATCTGGACCGGCTGTCCAGCATCCCTGTAGGATTGGCACAGAGACCGCGGTCCCATCTGCGCCAGAGGGGTTAGGGTTGCTTTTCCCCTGTAGTTGAGCTAAGAAACTAGGTGTACCCTCTCCCCATATCTCCGGCTGCGGTTGGAGAGGGAGGCCAATTGCCTCCACTCCCCAGGACGCTGGTTGCTGTGAGGTAGAGGGACCGGGCATCTCCTCCTCCTGGAACTCAGGCACTGCCGCTGGGGATCTGGGCCAGCTGCCCAGCATCCCTGTAGGGCCAGTAGAGAGACCTCGGTCCCATCTCCACCTGCCATTTGGGGGTCCTCCCAGGACCAGTCTATGAGGTCCGCTACCTCGGGTACCTGTGGCTGCTGTTGGAGAGGGAGGCCAGTTGCCTCCACTCCACAAGACGTTGGTTGCTGTAAGGTGGAGGGATCGACCATCACCACCTCCTGGAACTTAGGCCACCGCTGGGGAGAGAGACTGGTTGTCTCTTCTACCGGTCACTCAAGCTGCCGCTGGGGATCTGGGCCAGCTGTAGGACTGGTAGAGAGACCTTGGTCCCATCTCCACCTGCCATCTGTGGGTCTTCCCAGGATCAATCTATGAGGTCCCCTATTTCTGCAGCTGGTAGTGAAACAGGGGATACTGTGACCAAGTCTCTAGAGGACAGGTACTGCTGCTGAGGTGCTGGACCGATTATCTCTGTTCCTGGTAGTATACTTGGTCGCCGTGCTAAGCTGAACAGATGTTGGTAGTTCTGCTCCAGCTCCCACTCCATTGTGACCAGATGAATCAGGTCTGGCCCCAGGTCGTCCGCTCTGGGAAGATCCAGTAGGGCTTCCCTGATGTCGTGGATGTCCCAGAGCTGACATTCTGCTGGATATCCAAAGTCATTGCCCTCTTCAAAGGCCTCCCACAGTAAGCCCGGGCCATTATAGTCCTCTCCTTCCTGCATATGGTTACCAGCCATCCAGGGGTTGCGCAGGGTGGAGTACCACTTTAGTGCCTGGTAAGCTTCATCCAGCCACAACTCCTTACAAATCAGGTCCCACAGTTCTGTCACCCACTCATCCAGGGGTTGCTCTCCTAGGAAAGGTGACCGCAGGGCCACGAGTACCTGGAACCGCTGTTCTTCACTCGGAAGGCTCTCTGTCCGCTGCCGCTGTACCTCCTCTACGGCCTCATACCACAGCTCCTTTCGAGTGGCATCTCCAGTCCAGTATGCCCTCCTCTGACACAGGCCCATCCTGTGGGGCCAAGTGTTGCTGAAACCTCCAGAGAAACTCCTCCTCACATGGGGAGGCTGCATGGGTGCTAGCTCACTCCATTCTCCCGCGTTCCTCTGTAGACAGGGGTGCTGCACGAGTGCTAGCATTGCCCTCAATTATAGCGCCATAACATTACTGGTGTCTCCAAGCTGCTTCTCCTCGCACTAGGACGCCATCTCACCGCTGCCACCAAATGTGACGGAACGCTGGCATTCCGATTGAGTACCTCTGCCAATCAATGATCCTAGTGCTTCCGAGGACTCTAAGCACTTCAACCGACACCATCAGCACTGCAGACCCAACTTCCAGCGATGCAGCTGCGCCGGGGTCTCGCCGTCCTTCACCCATCCTGGACCCAAGGCCAAGATCCAGCTTCTAGTGGGCAGACCTCTCTTCCTCCAAAGAGCGTAGCAGGAACAAGAACAGCTCTT